TCATTGATGTATGTATACGCCTAAAGACTTTATAATATATTGTGACACACATAGATGCATTTTGTCAACTTTGATTTTCGGTTTTGCTATAATATGAAGCAATCAAGTGTAGCGAAAGATGAGATGTTCTTAACTCATTAGAGCCGTGTAGCTGGCGGCGGCTAAATGCATTTTAGCACTTGTGGAGTGTGCGATTATCCTATGGACAGGCCTAGGGTGCTTTGGTGTGCTGGCAACGAAACAAAGAATCGACTGGATGAATGAGGCCCAGAATGAGTATGACACCCTCCCCTCTTTGGCCATCCTGGCGCTAGTCCCAGTCCAAAGTTCAGGCGCGGTTGATAGGGAAATGTCAAGAGTAGCTTTTAATTTCCATGGTCGACCTTTCATTCCACTTTGCTTGCTGTTTCTCCGCGATCTTCTTGATGACTTTGCCAAAACACTCCCCCTCTTTATGAGCCGAATGCCTCCTTGATCTCGTCGAGATTGAACGTCTTGTTCACGACGGGCTGAATCCTCTCCTATGCGCACGACTGAGCAGCTCCACGAACCGCTTCCTCGACCCATTGATCATGCCCTTGAGGGTGATGATCCTCCGCAGTGCAAGCATGTTCACGTTCAGCCTGTGACCCCGCTCCTCCTCATCCCCCTTCCCGCTGCGCTGGCCGATCCATGGTATGATCCCGCCAAAAGCGACACAGTCGGAGTCTGGCTAGAGATAGACAGCACACGAGCGCACTCGCAAGAATGGGACGTCTTGCAGGCGACGATGCCGCTGGCCATGCCAGAACAGGGCACGAGAGCTGTGCATTGCACGAAAGACTTGTGGTGTCCGCAGCCTCCACCCACAACTTATTCGGTGTGTTCGCGACCACCCTGTGATCATAATTTACCATATTTTCCATCACGATTTGACAACTTTCGTTTCCTGCGCCACTTGGCACTGCTTTTTCATCACAACTTCCATCACCACCACCAACCCCGCCCTCCCCTCCCTCCTCTCCGCTTGGTAATCTGCTTGGTAATCAGAGGTGCAGTCAAGACCCAACCGTTTGTATCCCGATCATCCAGACTCACAGTGTGAAATTCAAAGCGGCTACCTGCTTGCCTATTGGGCAACCTGATCAATTGATCGTAACATGACCAACGCTGATGTGAGTTCGTGGTTTGCACTTCTTTCCCCGAAACAGAATCACCGCAGCTGATTTAAAACACATGTTGTTTTTGATCACCATATACCGTGTGCGGATTGATACACACATTACGGACCAAATTTGCGTCATAGTGGAGGGTTGGACAACGTTCACTTGTCATCACATAGCGATAGAAATGGGGTTGACCAGGCTTAGATTATTGCAACTAAAATGAATTATAGGTGACTTCACTTGCACCTGTAGCCATGAGTCGGAACAGGCGGTGTCCAATTAGGCGTAGGTGGCGTTGCCACACTGACGTTCAAGATTCGACTCTCTAGTGCGCGGGTTGATTGCTAGCATTGGGGCTGGGGCTATTGACCTAGCTACTCTGTTTTCCATGAGTGATTTCTTTCCTGTGTCGATCCCGCCAGATGTAAGGATCCATAACTTAAGCCGAGAATATCGCTAGTAGAAGATTGGAGTCCAGAGGAACCGCGTCTCATTAGTCAGTTCCCATCGTGTTCGGGTAGTTGATCAGCTGCATACCAGCTTTGAAATCAACAAAGGAATGGGCTATCTGGTAGGTGCAAACATAAATACCTTTCGCCGAACGTCTGCCCGCCAACCTTGGTAAATCATACAACCAGGAAGCCAGATCATCTGTCTACAATTAATCTGCGAGGCTGCTCCATTTGTCCCACCTCCACACCAATATGTCAGCCAATATCCTCATCACCGGTGGCTCAGGATATCTTGGCGGGTCTCTTCTTCAGTCCTGGACAAAGGCGCAGATTTCCGGATGTGATCGATTGTTCGCTCTTGTTCGCACCGATGATCAAGCTACCGCAGTCGAGAAGCTCTATGGCGCCGAGCCAGTGCGATCCTCTCTACAAGAGGATGATATTACAAAGCTTATCATTGATAACAGTATAACGATTGTGTTATACCTCATCGATGCCTACACGGCAGACGGTCCTTTCGCGTTTATCAAGGGCCTGTCCGCACTGAAGAAGGCCACGGGACAAGATGTTCACCTCATCTTTGTAAGTGACACAACGCGTTTGTGGACTGGTACGCACATTTAACCTTCCAGCCAGACAACAGGAACAAAACAGTTCTCCAGTTTGGCGGGGGCGCCCACGGATGAGCTTCTGTTAGACACGGATCCAAACTTGTACACCATTCAATTAAAGCAGAGAACCCGTTTCAAGGAGATGGAGGCAGTATGTCAATCCTCAGGCATGGCACCTTCTGAATAGATATGCTAACAGGCATCCGCTATGGCAGTCTATTGAAACCAATTGCAGGCTCATTGAAGCTGCGGAGAGATACGATGTTCGGCTGTATCTCTTCTCGCCCTGTATAATTTGTATGTGGTCCCATGATATAGTTCCCCTGGCAGCAAGAACGATGTTGACAAAGATTCAGATGGTGAAGGTACTGGTTTCGGAAATAAGATTTCCATTCAGACTGTCGACGTTGTAGTTGCAGCCCAGGGATCCGGTCACGTTTATAAAATTGGCTCAGAACGCCAGGTAAACAGCTGAATATTGCAAACGATATGCATTAATCACATGAGCTAACGACTTGTTCCAGGCTTGGCCGGTTTGCCATATCTCTGATTGTATTTCCTTGTACACGACTCTTGTCAAAGCTATCTTGCGTGACGAAAACCCTGGACATGGGAAGTACGGTTACTATCTGGCGTCATCAGGACGAGCGTTCTGGGACGAAATATATGCGGCTATCGCCAAAGCTCTAGTAAAGAGAAACATCATTAAGGACGCGACCGTTCGACTTGCCGCTGACAGCGCGCTGAAGACAATGGCGGAGGCGCTCAACGTCGAGCCATCGTCAGTCGTTGTGAAGATAAGTGGAGAGTAAGAGATGTCCTAAAACCAGGCTGAAAAGATGGTGAAGCTGATCGTAAAACTCCTCAGATCAACTTATACTGCAAAGCATGGCCGCTTGATTGGCTGGCAGCCAGTATACCCTCCAGAGCATATACTTGAAATGCTTGATGAAGAGGTCGAGTTGATTCTCAGAAATATCGATCCGAAACTTTTGCGTATCAGGTAAACACCTATGTTGTTCAGATTATGTTACCTGATGGTTTCAAATAAGCGATTACGTGCTGCGAGACTTTTCTGTACCCGAAGGTGATGACAAATCACAACGATCCCAACAAAGACTGATGAGGTTTGGATTTGATCATGATAAAACGATGACTGCAATTTTCAGAATGCACTGGCGGAGCGTGACTTGCTTAGCTCCGTATTACACGTCTGGGCTGCAGAAGTGATTGGCATATTGTGCTTGTGAACAGTAAAGTCGAGGTGGAGACCTCAAATTTGCTGAGCTGGCTACGGTAATGTATAATTTAAAATATGTGTGGAACGTGATGTCTGTCATTCTTAATCAAGCACGGATTGATTGAATCATGATTTATTAAACGTCTCGTAGCCTCGCCTTCAAATGCTCAATAAGTACGTAAAGTTTACAAGTGCTGCTACGTGTGAAGGCTCTCCACACCGCGTCATGGCCGAAGTGAGATTTGATTTCCTCTTGATACCTACGTTTTCCATGATATTCTGGACTTACCGCTGACGTCGTTCACAGCTTCAACTCATCGCCGTTGCCGTGTGAGTGGTGCCCATGTGGAGAAGTCGCTGGCCACACACGGCCACGTCAGCGAGGTGACCTTGAAACTTCCACGAGAAGGAAATTCACAGCAATCGAAACCTGAACTTCAAGACATCATCCTTGCCAGCTCGGGAAAGCTGCGTCGTCGACCACATAGAAGAGGCGAAAAGGAAGTCCGGGGGGTGGGGGGGTGACTTACGCGAAGCCTTGCCAGCCTGTCGAGGGACAGCAAGCAACACACAAAAGTCAAATCCTGAAGACGTACTTGGTCACACGTGTTTAGCTTCTGCAAAATGATATCTTAAATCCTCAGCCGAAGGTTTGATAGGCTGAGAGTTGGAGCTGCTGTAGTATCGGGATGGATTGGGAGGCCTGTCTGGAAATATTCCCATAGATCGCGCAGCGGTGATGGCAGCAGGAAGATGAAGGCTAGAGCTTGAGCTCCATTTATATATGTTTACGTTCCCGAAGTCTTTTGCGTGGGTTGATGAGGGTCTTGGTTCTTTGCGCTTACGCTGCTTTGATGCAAGTTAAGTTGGATATGCGTTTCAGGTTGCCGAAAATTGGAAGATAATGTGATCAATGGGCAGCTACGATGGCGTCAACACTGTGAAGAGTCGGGAATTCTCCGAAAGTTTCCAGTTCAGGTCTACGAGCTTAGGGGCCAGGGCTTTCTTCTGGGCTATTTCTGCGAATATTTACATTGGTCGCAGGGTCACAAGATACATGAGATCCCAGACCGGCGTCAGGATCACCGGCTTCTGTCAAAGACGCCAGGGCTCGCCATAACATTAAACAGGGACTATACCAGCCCTGTCATCTTTCAATAATCGCCGACGTCAAGACTGGAATTACGTATTGTGTCCAAACATGTTTGCACAGCCTTCAATTGAAATGACTGCTCCTCCCACATGGATTCGTAGTGGAAAACGTGAGTGTTCTCGGGGGGGGGGCAGGAAACAGCCACAGATCACGCCTCCCTGACGAGCCTGTTAGGACCAAAGTAAGCTTGCTACCAGTATCTATGCTGTCCGTGGGTGCTCTCGGCACTTGCTCTTGTGGCGCAAAGCTAGGAATATTAATGAGACTTACACCAACTTTCAACGCTTCCCCACATCGAAGCACAAACGTGATCACAGAAGGCTG